TTGTTAATTAGCTGTGAATCACTTCGCCATTGAACTGAAACAAAGAACATTTCTCTTTTTGAGTCATACGACTCTCGCAAACTGGTATTCCCATCTAAAAAGTCAGAATTTCTTGTGATACCTAGGGTAGTCTTTTATTTTTTCTTGGAACTAGTCCTGCACTTAATAACATTAATCTCCTTAATTTTGCGATCCTGAATTGGACGGGTAGTCCCTTTTGTGACCGAGACAGTTACTTCTAAACGGTGTAGAAAAACGTTTGGAGTAAGACAGTGGTGCTCAAATCATACACTAGTGACGTCTTGAAACGACTAAAAATTCCTCTCAGAAGAACCGCTGAACCAGTGAAATTCTTAATGGATGAATTAAATGACGGAGTCGCCAGAATGTTGACTACCAGCCGATGCAGTACTGGTCGAAGCATTTGGAAAAGTTGCCAGATTATGTAGCTGGAGAACCATGCTATGGACTGCAACCGTTCAAAGTATTATATTTTAAAGAAGCATTTGTAAGGGCCACACGTGATTTACCATCTATCATCTTAAGTAATTTATAACCCCTCTCACTTATTTTACTCAAGATAGTCTTATTCTGAGATCTGTTCGGCTCCTCAATCATTTGAACTTCTTCAGTTCCCTTGCAAACATAGCAGTAATGATCGAAGATGCACGGCAAGAAGTGTGTCTGAATACTTCAGGAAACCTCTCCCGGACTTTGCCCCCGGATCGATTAGAATCAGCCCTTGTCCATTCATTTAATCTGAGTACAGTGTGAGGAAACTCAATAGCTTTGTAGGTGAAGGTGAGAAGAAAGCTGTCCGGGAGCGTCGGGATGATAGTCACGTTTGTGAGTGAAAATTTAACGAGAATGTAACAGAACCATAGATCATCGTGTCTGCCCTGTTCCAAATGTTTGTGCACATTGATGCTGCAATATGCCACGGTACCACGGAACGATGCACGTGGACGTGGTTTGCGTAGCTTCAGCGCTTTCATTCCCGGATCGAACGTTGCAAATTGCCGTGAGAGGCCAAAATCCAGAATGTAAAGTACATTGACATTCTTCAGGCCGGTCGCAAAATTGCCCGGTTTCACATCGCGATGAACGAAGTAGACGCTGTGTAGATCGCGTAATGCCTACACAAAACATTCTCATAACAAAGCATCATTTTTATGCAAATTAAAATCATTGACAGATGGTACTTTGCATGTGATTTTAGGATTCGCTTGGTGTGTCCCCGGGTAGCAACGTCCAAATGATGCGATGACGTACTGGGCTTGCACCCACAAGAGAGGGTTTTCAGTTCGGACAGTGTTTGGCTAAAACAGTTTGACCTTCAAGAAGTGGCTTATTTTTTACGAAGAAACAAACAAAACAAAGAAACAGTAAGCCATTAGGGCATCAAAATTTTCTTCTGCTCCCTCACCCCCTTTCTTAAACTGAATTTCCTTGCATAATCGACGCAGCTGATACTTTTTTGGCCGTGGTTTGCAGATGACGTCTTAATATCCCGCATTTCGGTCACCGGATACCTTCATCAAAAGACTTCGAGACAAGTTCTTTTTGAACAGCAACAAAAGTATTGCTAGTCGGTAAGATTGTTGCTCAAAATGGTCACTTCCTCTGCGACTAGTCAACTGTTAATTAAATTTTATGGCAGCTGCGGTGCTTTCATGATCCACTTTTTGTGTTCGCTTAATCCTCCATCGAATACAAGATGTCGTGAAAATTTCGTGAAAAACCGATGAGAACTAAAAGTGCGCTGCTTACGCGAGGGGCTCTGGGAACTACAGCAGTAGGCAGGTGTAACAAAATTACTGCCTTGTCAATCCAACGATCTCTAGGATTCCCAGCTGTTGAAAAGGGATAACTGAAAGGTCACTGATGCCTTCAACAGACTTCGACAATAAACTGACCACCAACAAGAACGCCTGGACAATCAGTGTGAGAATCCGAGGTTAGTGTTGTCGCCCGGATACACTCACATCGCAAGCGCAGATGTGCTTTTTGCATTATCCAGAAATGGGTCCACTCTAAAATTTTCCCGTCCATTCATGAGTGAATCACTTTTTATCTCAAAGTTGCCAACTTCTAAACATAGCAAGAATCGGGACCGTTCGTACTATTTCGTCGTTCTCTTTTGTCACTCCCCACCTTTACTCAAACAATATTCCCAGTTTTTGAAATAGTAGATTAAAGGATTGGCTTAAGCGTCATGTGCAAGAAGACAACTTCGAGGGCTAGGTGAAGAGAGATAGCATGGGACTTTGAGAAGACAAAGTAATGATATTTTTAAGTTTAAAAAACACAAGAGAAAAAAAAGTTGAAATAACGGTGCATACACTGAGCGCCTGAAGGGCCACTTTCAGTACGGTGGCAATTGTGAACTGGCGATGCGGCGTTGCCTTGTGCAGTTCGCTGAGCGATTTCCCGAGCAACTCCATCAGAATGAAATTGAAGATTGCGGTACGACCTGCTGCAAGCTTCAGTCACCTGCTGCATGCCATCCACATTGCTCATGCAAGCACTCATCCCGACCACCATCATGATTTTCGCAAAAACACAACGACCACTGGCGCATCCAGAAGCAGGAATGAATGGACGGAAGACAGGGTGGTCGGAATCCAAATTCATCACTTCCGTAATCACCCTCCGTTTTCACTCTCTACGCGAGGCAGAGGTACGCGGGAATAGTCCGAGCACAAATCAACAGCAGGCACCCGATGTCGACAGCTACCTCTTCCGAGGCATGCTTGGAAGTAAGCTTATATTGGATTTGATTCTCAAGCTTGTGCCAGTAAACCAGTTTACCCGTCGGAACAAATGTAAGTCACAGAGGAACTGGTTCTCCCACTGATGGATCTGAGCCATGAATCTTCAACCGAGAGTACGGAAGAAAATGCCATTTTTTTGTTCCTACGGAAGAAAAGACCGTTTTTTGGTGACCAGCTGTCCACAAAATGGGCAGCAAAAATTCCCAAATTTCTGACTGCACAGAAACACAGACGTACACACACAAGAACTGACATATGATACACAGACACCCGACTCATATTTGCCCTCTCTGAAATGCAACTGTGAACTGGCTAATTATGTTAGACAGTGATAATTTTGTTGTAAATTTTTTGATTCTTCAGTGGATTTTTAATATTTCATTACTTTTTAATGGCTTAAATAATAAATTTCATTTGTTAGCAGTTTTTTTTTTGACTATATTATATATTGCTGCTCTTCTGCAAGCGTATGTTCCTGAATGTTCTCAAAGGCCGGTGCGTACGTTCCGGTGTAAAGGTCAGCACAGTATCTACGAAAAGAATTAATGCACCATGAACCACGTGTTTTAATACTGATAAAATTCCTCCCATGATATCCATTTTTACTTTTTTCGTTGTTTTTGTTCTTCTTATATATTATGAAGTTTCGTTTATTTTGTAATCAATCTTGTTTTCCCGCATATCAGTAAGCTATTTCTGGACCTCCGCAATAATTTATCTCTCTCTACAACCAGCTCCGCTTGCAGCACTTATTGATGAGCAAAGGATTTTTAGCGCTAAACGCTCCTCCCCACCTTCAAGTTCAGAAATAATAACTGAAAGTTACCGGCTGCAATGAAAACAGGAACATGTTCGGAATGCTGCATACGTTTCAGAATAGTGGCTTCCACTCGTAGCAGTTGGTCGTTATGATCCAAATCTCGAGACTCCACTTTCATTGCCAAACGTTTGTTTTCCGCCGAAAATTACTGAGTGGTATATGCAGGAAAATTAAGTAATATGTTATTGTTTCTATCCCCCCCGCCCCCTGCCTCTCATTTATCATTGCTTTTAATAAGCGGCAAAATTTCCTACATATGCTAAGAACTTGAACAGAAACAATTCTAGACTGCCCTAGCAAATGGAAAAGTGGATCTACGAATTCAGAGACAAAATATTAGACTGAATTAAAAAGTGGTTGAAAAACAAGGTGATGCGTGCGCAAAGGAATTAACTTCGTGCAGTACTAATTTTTCCATCGTCTGGGTGCTAGCCTAGTTGTCCTATGCGGTTGGATCAAACAAACATTAACTTTGATTCAAAACGCATTGCCCAGCATATCTGGACAATTATCGGCTGGGCTACTGAGGGAACTTGCAAGTCAGCCACACCACTGATGAATCTTAGCTGAACTAGTAGCCTTTTCAAGTCTCAAGTTAATACCGATAACTATGGAGTAACTTGTTGAAACAAGGTACGTCTTGCTCTGTATTTCGATTAAAACTAAAAAAAAAAAAACAACAAAATACCCTCACTTTGGAGGAAACTTCGAAAACAGCGCCGCATCCCCCTTT